AGGTGCATATCGAGTACCTGCTGTCATCATAAAAGGCACCAGATCTCCTGCAACTGGAGTAACGGGTTGTGAGCCACCATGTGGGACCCGAACTCACCTCTGAGCCAACTCTTCAGTCCCCAGACTCAGTCTTTTCCAGCCCTGACTCAAAGGGATGGAAGAGGCCGTATCCACTCCCGAGAAAGTTCCAGTACTTCTTTACTTTCTACTCCTTCACGGTCAGTGCTACTTTACTGGTGGGTCTTGTCAAAACTCACGTAACACCCATCTTCCCATTTGGAGTAGAAAAATTATATGTTACTTGAGACCCCTCTGGTTGTTGTTCTTTATCTAAAAGTTTTACTCTTAGGACAAAAATCATCATGCGAAATCCATCCTAATCCAAAACATCTCAGAGACCTGCTGTGGCCTCCTTAGCCTAAAAAGGAGGCACAAGGATAAGCAGAGGGCTCAGCGGGACGACAAAGTGTTATGAGTGCGGCCTTAGTTGGTATCAAGATGGTGGTGAATTATCTGGCCTGCACTCTCTTTTCACGTTAGTAAAAGTGGCTGCCAGCCCTGAGGCTGCTTCCACTCTGATGTGGCCACCAGCCAGGACAGAGGCAAGGCACATGGCTGCTATTTAAAAACAGCTGTTCCCTGAAATGGGGTTGAATCCAAGCTGCAGATGCAGTAGTAAATTTAGATTATCTTAGATAGAGATTTTTTAAGAATCAACCTTTTGTTAACTTTCTTTTTTTCTTTTTTCTCCCTCCCTCCCTTCCTTCCTTCCTTCTTTCTTTCTTTCTTTCTTTCTTTCTTTCTTTCTTTCTTTCTTTTTTTTTTTTTTTTCTTTTTTTTTTTTTTTTTTTTTTTTTTTTTTTTTTTTTTTTTTTTTTTTTTTTTTTTTTTTTTTGGTTTTTCGAGACAGGGTTTCTCTGTGGTTTTGGAGCCTGTCCTGGAACTAGCTCTTGTAGACCAAGCTGGTCTCGAACTCACAGAGATCCGCCTGCCTCTGCCTCCCAAGTACTGGGATTAAAGGCGGGCGCCACCACCGCCCGGCTTAAGGGATTTCTTTATAAGAGCAGAGAGAAAAGAAATAAAAGATAGAAAGAAGTAAAAAAGAGATAAAAGATTTTTCAAGAGTGGAAAGTAGCCAGGTGGTGATAACCCATGCCTTTCTTTAATCCCAGCACTTGGGAGGGAGAGGCAGTCAAATCTCTGTGAGTGTGAGGCAAGCTGTATCAACAGAATGAGTTCCAGAATAGCCTAGACTATACAGAAAAATTCTGCCTTGAAAAGCCAAAATAAATAAATATAAATAAAATAAAAAGTGGAAAGAAAAAAGCTAAGAAATAAGAGACTTTGGGGATCATTTGCTTGTGCAGTGGCAGAAGCTGTTAGTCTAAGAATCTGAAAATTGGGTGTGTCATTTTGTGGCTCTGGATCTGTACGGAGCCAAACCATCTGTGGTGAATATCGTGGCTTTATTGTAATCGCTGAGTCTGGGAATGAAAAGCGAAAGGTTTGCACACAGAACTCATCCAGAGGGAAGACTTCAACTCCAGAAGAGAGCTGAGAGACAGCAGCGGGGACAAGGGTCACAAGCAGGAATTTCACCAGAGGGAGGATTCCAATACCCATAGAGGTAGGTCCAGGAGGGCGCAAGGAAGAGACAGCCGGCAGCTCCTAGAAGGAGGGGAGTTAGCTCCAAGGAGGAGCTGACAACCTGTGGGAAGTACAACAGGTCTTGGGGTGGTGTGGGGGTGGTATGGAGAGAGAAGGGTTGTAACACCTGATTCTGTTACCCTCTCGGTACAGTTTGTGTGCCACTGTACCGTGAGCGAGCAGGGCAAGGGCCTGGAGATTGAAAGAACACACAAGAGACCTGGGTCATTTGAAAGGAGATCAGCTGAATGCCGTTTATTCCACCTTGGGGAAATCCTTATGTGCCTAGCTGTTGCACAAGGAATTCCCCCAGGCAGGTGGGAAGTTGTCACCCAAGATGGAGTAAACAATGCCCTACAGCTAATCACCAGGCAGGGCAGAGGGAGCACAAAAACAAACAGAATGTTTTAGCTGGCTGACCAGAAACTGTCCTCAAGATGAACCCCAGGAGCAGGGTAGACCTGGGCTCTACAAAGGGCAAATGTACTGGTGACAAGAATTTCAATCCTCAAGCATGTTGAGAAACTTGTCAGAGAGAAATGTCCCAAATCACAGAGGAGAGGTGTCCTTTTCTACACAGTGCGGAACCTGGAGGGGAAGGGACCAACTCTAACACACCTGTGTGGCTTTCATAGCGATAGCAGGCTCCCGCAGCCAGCAAGCCTACAGAGAGACAAAGCAGGCAGCTCCAGCTGACACTCACCCAGGAAATGAGAGAGAGAGCTGGTGGAGGCAGTGACCTGTCCACATCCCGGGTTCCAGAAGGTTGTAGCAGGCTCCCAGAGCCTGGCATCACTGTGGAGCATTGCAGGTCAAGGCAAGAAGCCGCTGAAGAGGCAAACTCTAGAATTTGGAGTCAAATATGGAGGATGACAAAAGCCAGCAGAAACAAATGATCCACATATACACCTTTGGAGAGACGAATCAGCAGCAGGTTCAGCTAGGAGGCAGGGGCCTCTTGACAAGGGCTTTATTTATGTCCCACTGGGAGGTTTCAGCATCAGATATATAAAGTGAGGACGAGACCATTACAAGGTATGGTTGAGAGGAAGGTTTTTATTGTAGCTTCGAGGGAGAGTACAGCCAGAGGCACTTGGAAGAGTCCAGAGCGCAGGACAGATTAGTAAGTTAAACGTAGCCAGCAGACTGGACTGGGTGGGTGGGTGGATGGATGGATGGGTGGGTGGGGGCGACCCAGAGAAAAGGAGCAAGAGAGGGGACTAAGAGAGAAAGACAAAAGAGAAACCAAGAGCCAAGTGCTTGCAGAGCCAAAAAACGGCAGGGTTATAAGGGACTGAGAAAGTGAGGGACGGAATCCATGACTGGAGACGTTTAGGATTGGGGGTGGGGTGAGAAGAGCTGAGAAGAACCACACAGGTAGTTGTGAAACGGAGGAAGCCTGGGGACCAGCACGCACTTTGGCGTGCTAATAGGCACCACAGAGAGTGGTGACTCTCTGTGGTGCCTATTAGTGCCTATTAGCACGCACCAGAAATAAATACCCACCATGAAACGAGGGAAATAAACAAGCAAAAACCAAACCAAACCAAACAAACCAAAAACCCTAAAACCTACAGTGGACTTGAAGAAAAAAAAAGATTTTGGTCGTTTTTTGAGTTATTTGTATATTCTATAGTAATCCTATCAGGTGTACCGCTTGGCAAAAACTGCCCCCATTCTGTAGGCTGTATTTTGACCTGTAACTAAGAGAGAGCTTGAATTCTGGTTCTCCTGCCTCTACCATCCAAGTGCCAGGGTGTACTCCACCGTGGGCACCTGGTTTTGCTTACTTGAATTGGAATGAAATTCATGCACTAGCAATTCATGCATGGGCAGCCCATATTTGGCAGTCTGGCTTTCGTGGTCTAAGTTGACGAGGACGACTGACCAGATCTCCTCGCAGTTTTGCATACTTAGGACTGTATTGCTTTTAACCTTACTTCCTTCCAGGACAGGCTCCAAAAACCACAGAGAAACCCTGTCTCGAAAAAACAAACAAACAAACAAACAAACAAAAAAACAAACCTTGCTTCCTTTTTGCGAAGCGTCACGGTATGAAATGTATACCGCCCGTTCACAGAGGGCCCAAGCGATCCTGTCTATCCTGTCTCAGCGAAACTAGTCGTAGGCATGCAATTTGGCTGGGTCAGAGCGAAAACAGTACAATCCCATTAGAGAAGGGCCCAAGGAAAACCACCCCCAACGTCTCCGAAAAGGGTTTCACAGATGCAAATGCGGAACAATTTCGTGAGAAATTCACTTAAAAAAAAAAAAAAAATAAAACCAAGCACAAAGGCATCATGTGATCGGATAGGTCCTTGCCAGAGGGACTGGACTACCGCTGCCGCTTTGCTTTCCTTACTTTCCTGGGGTCTTAGGACAATTTGCGGTTGAGTGTTGGGGGAAAGGTGGACGTAGGGCAAAGGCCGAATTAGGTAGAGCGAGCTGAAATTTGAACTGTGAAAAGGCAGGTAGGGGCAGAGGTGACCAGGAGATCTAGGAGTGGGCTACGAGACTTTCTCCGTAGGGTGGACGGAAATGCTTGATGAGCCGAGGAGGCAGCAAAAGAGGACTAATTTGGGGAGAAATGCGGGGGGGGGGGGAGGAAGCGCGTTGGAACTCTCCAGCACCGCGCACGCAGGTTATAACCAAGCCGAGCGAGGATCCGCCCCGCAGCGGGGAGGATACCCTGAAGCTTCTGATGGGGGGGAGTGGAAACGACACTGGGACTTTGCCCAACTTCACCTAGTTCTAGTCTATCCCCTGGAGTTTGGGGAAAATGCTGAATCCACGCAATTTCCCGAAGAAAGACCTGCCCACCAAGGAGTTGCAGTGGTCTGGCTTGGGGGTAAGCAGAGGCGGCTTGCTTGCATTTTTAGCCCTGAACCTAAGGGACACAAAATACGCCCAAAGTGAGTTGAGGTCGGGTTACTCTGCTTACAGTTTGGTTACCCTCACCTTGGCTCAATTTCTTCATCTACAGCAAGCCTCAGAACTGTCCTTGGGAGATACTGTAGTTTATAAAGACCTGAGCTCGCAACTCTTCTAGTAGGAAAGGCTGGGGTGGTGGTCGCTGCAAGGACCATCTAGTTCCCGGAGCCTGAGACCCTGTCGTCTGACAGTCACAATGGACCAACCCAAATAATGACAAAACTATTGGAGAGCAGCTGGGATGCAAGGCAAGGTCTAGCACCTGGGCGGAGGCTGTGGGATGTGGGCGGGTACGGTCCCGCAGCTTTTTCCTCCAGCTTCGGTCGGGACCCGCCCTGGGCAGTCGGCAGAGAGGTGGCCGGAGAAATCGGCGATGACTTCCAGCTAGTGAGTGTCCCCGGCCCGAGGAACACGGGCGCGCAAGGCTGGGGAGGAACAGGTGTGGGTGGCGCCCTGGGAGTCCTCGCGTGGGCGGCAGCATCCCTCGCGCGCCGTGCGCGTGCAACCTCGGATGGAGACCCTCCCCTCCCCCCACCAGCCCCCTTTCTCGGCGGCTGCGCCCGCGCCAACGCGGAACCAGTTTTCTCGTGGGAAAATCTGACCTGGAGGTTGTTCCACAAGAACACGCCGCGGGCAAGTCTGAGCGTGGGGTCGTGCCTTGGGGGTGCCGGCTGCACAGCTAGAAGCCCCGAAGCGCTGAGCAGAGACTAGGAGCCTACCTGATTGAGTTCCGGGATCCAGCGGTGGTAGGATGAACGTTTATAAAGTCAATCTCGGGAGCCTTGGGCCCCTGAGTCCTATACAGAGAGTTCCATAAGTTCCATAGCCGCCCTCGCAGACCCAACGGTTTCAGAATGTTGGGTCTGGAGTGAGGTGTTGAGCTGTACCTTAAAGAGTCTGTACCACTGCACCGCACGCCGCCCAAGAGGCTGAAAGGTTGACTTAATAGTGAAGGCGGGAGAAAATGTACTTGGACGACGTGTTCGATTAATTTTTACAAAGTACATGGCAGGATTATGTTGTGTCCTGGCGGTGGTGGCGCAGGCTTTTAATTCCAGCACTTGGGAGATAGAAGGAAGCGGGTGTTTGTAAATTCGAGTTTAGACTGATTTACAGAATGAGTTTCAGGACAGCCAGGAATGCGCAGAGAAACCCTGTCTCAAGAAAAAGAAAACAGCCGGGCGGTCGTGGCGCACGCCTTTAATCCTAGCACTCGGGAGGCAGAGGCAGGCGGATCTCTGTGAGTTCGAGACCAGCCTGGTCTACAAGAGCTAGTTCCAAGATCAGGCTCCAAAACCACAGAGAAACCCTGTCTCGAAAAAAAAGAAAAGAAAACAACAACAAATGTGGCTTAGAAATGAATGTTGTGCGTTGTTTTCACACACACACACACCCCAAAAGGTTATTTTCTCTGTATTTTTTTTTTTTCCAAACACAAAGTCAGTTAAGGGAGATGTAGCTCAGTTGACGGAGTGCTTGCCTGACACTCCAGAAGCCTTGGGCGCAATCCCAACTACTTGAAAAGCAGAGGCCCACAATTTTGAGGCTAGATGGAGGGTCTGTGCAGTGGTATGGTGCTTTCCTGCTATGCATCAGGACTCGGGATCATTTCTTTTGCTTTCTTTCTTTCTTTTTTTTTTTTTTTAAAAAGATTTATTTATTATGTATACAGTGGTCTGTCTGCATGTATATCTGTATGCCCTAAGAGGGCACCAGATCTCATTACTGATGTTTGTGAGCCACCGTGTGGTTGCTGGGAATTGAATTCAGGACCTCTGAAAAAGCAGCCAGTGCTCTTCACCTCTGAGCCATCCTTTTTAAAGCACACGCTTGTTCCACAAAGGATGCAGGGAGTGAGGGGAGGAAGGCAGAGCTTTCGTGTATCCTTGCCCCCTTCTAAGGACTTCAGGAACTCCAGGGTCCTTCAACATTCTCCCTAACTTCCTGCCTGAGGGGAGAAGCAGAGATGCCAAGGCTCCTTCCACAGGATCGGTCAACAGGAACCATGCCAGTGGATTTGAGGTTGGCACATTTTGGCAAACTTCGATTTTCTTTCACTTATGAAAAGCTAGCATCTTTGCCTCTTAGGTCTACAATATTAATCCATGCTGTTTGCTGTTTCTCTGTTTCTACTGCTTGATGCTGGCCAGCGTGGTCCTGGGGAAACCAGCATCTCTTCTAGCCTCTGAAATGGGATAGTTCCCCTCAACACACCCTACCAACTCAGGGAGCGATTACTGTCCCATAAACCACACTGAATGCGTGTTCACTTCTACATTCATTTCCAAACCCAGTGTGATTATGCCCGTCTGTAGCAGTTCCAGCAGCTCACGGGCATTTTTATTTTTTGCTACATTATGAGTTTGAGGCCAGCCTGGGCTACATGAGACCCCATCTCCAAAGGGGGTTAAAAGTCCAGTTCATTCTATACCCTAAGGAGCATTTAGGAGTGGGCTCCAGGATTATATTTCTCTGTAAGCGGACAGAAAAGCCTGATGCCCAGGGGAGGATACAGGAGACCAACGTGGAGCCTCACTGTTCCCCCATGCAGCATACATTTGGGGCGCATCAGCTGTGCCCTCCCATCTCCCAGCAGGGTTCCTAACGAGGTCTGGGAAGAGTGAACTACCGCCATCTCCACTTTACAGCTGGGGAAACGAGGGAGATAGCTGTCCAAGGGCCATGCTGGCAGGAGCTGACTGGAGGTTAGCTCAATCCAATGGAATTTGCGTATTTGGGACATTTATCCATTTGACAATTGTCGGAAGCTGGAGAGTTGATTCAGTTGTTAAAAACACACAGTGCTCTTGCCGAGGCCCTGTGTTGATTCCCAGCACTAATGTCTAGTAGGACCTAAGGGTAAGCCTTGCAGCTCGGATGGGAAAGTATTCTGGCTGTCGGGAGCCAAGGAATACCGTGTAGAAGCTCACAGCCCTGCTCCAGGGAGAGGTTTCCCAATGTAACAGCTCTGCTCTGGCAGGGGAGGGTTTCCCCAGTGAAGTTTTTACAGTTCTGCTCTGCCCCCCCAGCCAAGTAAGACGGTCTCACCTAACCCTCATTCAAGAGGCTTATTGGGAGGGAAGAATCCAGGAGGGTGGCTGCCTCCTGCCAGGGTGGGGAAGGCAGCAGCCAGTGGAACAGGTGCAGGGCTTATATAGGGCTTCTCAGGGAAGCCCTATATAAGAGTTTTTCCAGGGAAAAGGTTTTGAGGGTGGGAATTAGTCAGATTTTAGTCTCGTGAGCTCAGATTGGCTAGATCTCACGGTCAGGAATTGGTTGGTTTTCTGCTTAGTTGATCAAGGGCAGATTTGGCTCTGGTTTTAGGGCCAAAGTATGTTTCTTTCCCTGGCCCTTTTAAACCTTTTGACCCTAATTTCAGGGCCAGGGCATATTTCTTCCACTTCTATGGCTAACATGTGTTTCTTAGGCACTGGTTTCAGGCAGGGTCAGGGTGTGTTTCTTCGGTTCTGGGTTCAGGGCTAAAATATTTCTTTCACTGGCTTGGATTTCAGAACCAGGGTGGGTTTCTTTCCCTGGCTCTGGTTTCGGGGCCAGGGTGGGTTTCTTTGGCTGGCCCTTTTACCCTACACTAAGCATTTGTGACTTCAGCTCTAAAAGGTCTGAAACCTACACAATTGCACACGCGCACACACGCACACTTACCTAAAAAAAAAAACCTTAAAACTTATCCAGACGTTGCATGGTTCCTACTATGTGCTGGGTGTCCTACTAGGTCCTGGAAAACAAAAGTCCCAAGCGCTCGCTCTCGCTCTCTCTCTCTCTCTCTCTCTCTCTCTCTCTCTTTCTCTCTCTCTTTTCAGGCTGGTCTCAAACGTGTGCATTTCTGAGGATGGCTTTTGTCTGCAGGGCATGTACAAAGGGGCATCTTTCTTCTGCCTTGATGGTTGTGTGGGGTCAAATTCATGTCATCAGGGTAGCAAGCACCTTTAAATGTGGAATGTGGACCTGCTTAGCCATCCTGCCAGCTCCTTCCTCCCCCCCCCCCCACTTTGCTGCCTTCCTTCCTTTCTAATTCTGAGATGCAGTTTCATGTAACTCAGGTTGGCTTTGAACTCACTATGTAGCCAAAGATGACCTGAATGTTGGATCCTCCCACCTCTGTAGAACTTGAAAGCATGTACCACTATGGTCAGTTTATACTGGCTGATTATTATTTTCAAGACAGGGTTTCTCTGTGTGTCCCTGGCTGTCCTGGAACTCACTCTATAGACCAGGCTGTCCTCAAACTCAGAGATCTGCCTGCCTCTGTCTCGTGAGTGCTGGGATTAAAGGTGTGCACTTCCTCCACTACCCTGGCTGCATTCAGCTTTTTACGTGGGTTCTGGGGTCTAACTCAGGTCACCAGGTTTTACCAGCTGTGCCTTCTTACTAGTTTTTCTTTCGTTTTAGAGCAGCCAGAAAGTTAGACTTTCTGAAGATTTTCAGAGTGTGTGATATGTGTATGCAGTAAAGGATTAACGAAGGCCAGGGATGTAGCTCAGTGGTAGAGTCCGTGTCCAGTTTGCACGAGGGCCTGAGTTCATGCTTTATAAGTACCAAGGGTGGGGGGACTTGGTGAGCTAAGATGTTTGATTCGGGCTTAATATTACACTTCCCAGGAAGTTTTGGGTGGTGCTGGGTATTGACCTCCATTGACTCCCAGCCCTTTAGGAATATTCAATGTATGCTCTACTACTGAGCCACAGCTTCACCCCACACCTAAAACAAAGCCCAAACCAAAAACCCAAGAAACACACACACCATATTATACTTGGCAGTTGGCTCTGTTTTGACATTTTAAGTTTTTGTTTGTTTGTTGTTGCGATTTGCTTTTTCGAGACAGGGTTTCTCTGTGTAGCCCTGGCTGTCCTGGAACTCGCTCTGTAGACCAGGCTGGCCTCGAAATCTGAGATCTGCCTGTGTCTTCCTGAGGTTAAAGGCATGCGGCAGTAGCACCTTTTGTTTGTTCTTTGAGACACGGTTTATGTAACTCTGGGAGTTCAAACTCGCTTTGTAGCCCAGGCTAGCCTGGACCTTCTGCCTCATGGTATTTTCAGTCTTAAGCATCGGTTAAAACCTTAGGTTTCAGCTTCAGAAATCATTGCTGTTTCACATCTGCTTGTAGGGAAGTAGCCATACTAGGGAAGAGGTTTCACAAGTTCCTTAGCAACACTGGCTTTTACCTAACAACCAGAGTTCTACAGTCCAGGCTGAGAGCTCATCTCTGGATAGATGGACAGCCTGAGACCTAACACTGAACATCCCAGGTACCCAGCTGTGTGTTCTTCCGATGAAATTCCACGTCAAGGGAAGTTTTCAAAGCTACAGTGCTCACCCGAAGCTCCTGAATGTCATTAAAATACAGCAGTAAGCAACGGCACAGGAAAGCCTCTTGGTGCAAAAATTAAAAATCCCCCAAATTAAATACAACAAAAGGGCCTGTGGAATGGCTCCATGATCTAAGGCGCTTGCACTGTAAGCCTGGCAGACCTAGGTTTGATCCCAGGAACCGCAGAAAGGTGTAGAGAGAGAACCAACTGCATAAAGCTGTCCTCTGATCTACGCACTTGCCTGGTGTGTATGCCCCACCCCATCACGCCACTGAGCCTGTGCACACACACAGACACACATAAGCACACACACACACACACCAAGGCAGGCGTGGTGGCACACTTCTTTAATCCCAACACTCAGAAGGCAGAGACAGGAAGATCTCTGTGAGTCTAAGGTTAGCCTGGGCTATGTA